CCTGCTCCTGTGTATGTCACATGTTTATCACAGACTCAGACATAGTTGTGTCACTAAACATGACTGACAGAATTGAGAGGAAGTATCTTGGGTGGGTAGGTTGGGGGTGAGCTGGTTTTATAAGGTTACTCTTTGTCGGTTTCTTTACCACCAGCACATTTCTGATTGCTGTGTGCTTATCCATGAGGCCCCAGCCAACCAGTGTCCCCTAGAAGATGATTGATTATTCTGGCTCTTCTCTTTGCACAGGAAGCACCGGAGAGCGAGAGACAGGTCAAGATCCTCCTCCTCTTCCTCCCAGTCATCTCACTCCTACAAAGCAGAAGAGTACACTGAAGAGACAGAGGAAAGAGAGGAGAGCACCACAGGCTTTGACAAATCAAGACTGGGGACCAAAGACTTTGTGGGTCCAAGTGAAAGAGGAGGTGGCAGAGCTCGAGGAACCTTTGTAAGACCCTCCCCTCTCCCCTTTTCTCTAAGCCCTTTGCTTCTGTCAGTTCTGATTATGTTTCATCAGAATACCAATTTTGTTGCCTCTGACATAAGTAATCCAACCCAAAGACCCTGGAATCTTTGGTTCTCCTTCCCACATTTCCTGGCCTTTCCATTTTTAGTTACTTATCTGTTCATAATCACTTAGCTAGACAGCCTCACAGCTTCAGAACTTCCCCACTTACCTTGACTCCTGCTGTTTGTAGGGAGGCCCTTGGGGCAGGTTTATCCTCTGTGTAGGCTACAGACTTGAGATGAGAAAGGAAATGGCTGGAAATCAGCTGCCCAGTATATGTCTGGAAGATAGCTGCCTATTCCATGCCAGAAAAGTATTCGAACAGAAAGCAGGGAGGTTTGTTTCCATTCCTGGCATGATCCTTTGTTCCTTTTTCCCTCATTTATTGCAATAGCAATTTCGAGCCAGAGGAAGAGGCTGGGGCAGAGGCAACTACTCCGGGAACAATAACAACAACAGCAATAACGATTTTCAAAAAAGAAACCGGGAAGAGGAGTGGGACCCAGAGTACACACCCAAAAGCAAGAAATATTACTTGGTATGTGTCTGGAATAACCAGGAAGGAGGGTCAGAGGGCCTTTGACACACACAGTAGCTGCTACCAGGCCTTAATTGGTTTGTCCAAAACTGCAATTAAATGTATGTGCAGGAATAGTGTACTGGGGCATGTGTACTTGCATAGTGCTAACTAGATGGGTGTCCTCTAGAGAGGCAGTTACGGTCTGTTTGTCTATTGAAGATGTTTATGGATTCCAAGATAAGCAAGAAGCATTGGTCTTGCCTTTTTAGTTTGCGAACTTGTTTTACTGCTCACCCACCACCAACCTCCGCCTCCCCCATTCCTGTGGATAGAACCATAACCCTTTGCTGTTGCTGCTGTCCCTCTCTGCCACTCCTTCACGCAAGAATGACAGCAACAGCTCAGGATTTCTTTGAAGAAAGGGATGTCTCTCATCTAGGCTGTTGATCATTTGCATACACTCTGGGCCTCCCTCAGATTAGGACTTTATAGGCTGTAGTGCTGGCCATGAGTGAGTGCTCTTGGCCTTGGTATGTAACAGCAGGCTAAGATCCAAGCAGGTGGGGCTATGAGGGTTATCTCTAGGGTACAGGAGCAGCTGAGTCTCCATCACTTGCCAGAATGGCTAGAATGGGTCTGTATTGTCAGTTGGACACCTAGGAAACAGGTTGTGTGTGGATGGCTGTGCATGCCCACCATCCTTTTTTTAGGTTTGCTGCTGCTGGAAGCTGCTTTGAGGCTACTTAGAGGGCCTTTGAACTTAACTCTGGGAATTGTAGTTGGTTGGGCCAAGGTTAGGTGCTAGAGTGGTGGGACTACTGTAGGGGAAGGATTAAAGGCCTTCTCCCATGCCCCCAACTGCCACCTGAAAGAGCACTGCCAGCCTGATTCATTTAATGTGAACAAGTAGCCATCATCCGAAGAAGGTGACACTTCTGAGCTGAGCTCCAAAAGCCTAAGGCCCTAGCTTGTGTGGGGGATGGTTTAGACTCTGAAGTCATGAGGCTGATGAGGAATGACTGCTGGTTTTCAAAATGCTTTCTTAATCATTGATTGAATTCCTCCTTCTGTCTCATGAGATTGTCAGAGCAAGAATTGTTTGAAATGTAGGTTAATACTTTCATTGAACTAGGTGAAAAAAAAAAAGATCACATTGCCTCCTTGTATAAAACAGGGTAGATAAAAAATGAGAATGTGAAGGTGGAGGGTTAGGAAGAGCCCCAGTATTGGAGTCTGAGCATTTGGAGTGCAGTGGCACAATCTCGGCTCACTGCAACCTCCGCCTCCTGGGTTCAAGCAATTCTCCTGCCTCAGCCTCCTGAGTAGCTGGGACTACAGGTGCACGTCACCACACCTGGATAATATATATATTAGGAGAGGCAGGGTTTCACCGTGTTGCCCAGGCTGGTCTCAATCTCCTGAGCACAGGCAGTCTGCCTGCCTTGGCCTCCCAAAAGTGCTAGGATTATAGGCGTGAGCCGCTGCGCCTGGCCACATTGCCTCCTTTCTTAGCTGTTGAACAACCCAGTTCACATAGAGTTTCATGTTTTGTTGTGATTGGCTCTCAAACTTATCCTTTGAGAGAGGATATATTAAATCATATGGAGTTGCTTAAGGTTCCTGAGCTGTTTCCTCATTTGCAGAGTGGGAGGTGATAATGATAGGTTAGATGTGAGGATTAAATGAGATAGTATATAAGTGTCTTACTTCAGTGCTCAGTGAATTTTTTATTTTTCTTAAACTATTGAGGGTAATGCTCAGTGAATCATCCTTGTCATCATTATAATGGCCAAGCTGGTACTTTAGAATTCCTAAATCACCCAACTGATATTCTCGTGGATCTGAACCACAGGCATTTTTGGAGTGGGGGACAGCGAGACGTGCAGAAAAGGAGCAAAAGGCTGGGTTAGGCCACAGGTTCTTTTAGAAAAGGCACATTGGAGTGGGTGCAGAGAAGAGAGCTCTGGTCACATCTTGTTCACTCTGGCACTGATGGCAATTTTCTTTCCCCTCAGCATGATGACCGTGAAGGTGAAGGCAGTGAGAAGTGGGTGAGCCGGGGCCGGGGCCGAGGAGCCTTTCCTCGGGGTCGGGGCCGGTTCATGTTCCGGAAATCAAGTACCAGCCCCAAGTGGGCCCATGACAAGTTCAGTGGGGAGGAAGGGGAAATTGAAGACGACGAGAGTGGGACAGAGAACCGAGAAGAGAAGGACAATTTACAGCCTGCAACCGAGTAGGGGCCACTCGTGACGGGATTTCTGCCCGGGGGGAGAGGCGCTGGGAAGATGGCTGGCGACAAGCAAGACAGAGGAACCTCAAGCAGATTCTGAAAATCCTGCCCCCACCCCCCACCAGCCATGCAGATTGTACCACCACAGAAGGCATCCCTGGCGCTGCCTCCCACTGGACAGAGGAGGCTGGCCGTGGATCCTGGGGGTCAGGCCCAGCTCTTGAGCAGAACACAACGCATTGGGCTTTAGCTGTTTTTCTCATTTGTTGTTGGTGTGTGGGGTGGGGGCAGGGGTAGGGTGGGAGAGCAATGCTTGGATTTTTGTTTCCTATTAGAAACCAACAGTTTGTTCTTAATTTCATTTCATTTCGAGCTAAGAGAACTAATTTGATGATTTTAAATCTCTTCTCCCCTGTCCTGATTTTAAAAGCCCCGCTTTTTTAATTTTCTTTTTTTAGGCATATGTAGTAATATTAGAAACATTTAATTTGGGAAACTTTGATTCTTAAAAGCGAAAACAAAGCATGTGAATAAACTTTGAAGTGTTCACCTCAGTTTGGGACCAAACTGCCTGGATCTTTGTAAAAACCGGTTTTGTATGTCAAGGAGGAGTTTAAGGCCTTTCTGACCACCTTGTGTTCCCCTTTTCTGCGCAGCCATGTATCACGTGGAGTTGCTCCTAACCACACCTCACGTGCTCTGAGCCCTGTTTCCTGATACCTTTTGGGCTGGACTTCCATTCTCCACCAGCAGCTCCAGTATCCCAAACTTTCTAGTCCTGCTGATCCTCCCAGCACCGGGGTGGAAACGAGGGCAGTGTCTGGTCTGTTTTTTAAGAAACTTAGGAATTCTATTATCTTTACAAATACAAGATGAGAAAATAATTTTTTCAATATTTTTTATTAATCTTTTTATAAAATGAAAAGAAACTCCTATGATCAATTAAGGAAGGTGGTTATGGCTGGGTGGTTCATGGGGTTTTTTTGGGTTTCTTTGGTTAGTTTTTTTTTTTTTTTTTTTGTCTTTTTAACCTTAAGCTGTTTAAGTTGAAGCATTCTCAGATGTTTGGGGGGAAACGTCCTCTTAAAATGGGCCCTTGTGCTTGCCTTCTGGGGAGGCGGTCCTGAGCAGGTGAATCATAAGGCGTTTATGCATATGTTATATGCAGACTGCACCCACCTCTTCCCCCCAGCCTTTGCCTCTTGGGTTGTTGTGCTGCTTTCCCCTTACTTTGCTACATTTCTATAGTTAAGTTGGTTTTACTTGAATGATTCATGTTTAGGGGGAAAATGAAAATCTCCCTTAAAATTTGTTTCAACTCCTCCTGCAAATAAAATAAATGAAGTGGCAGATGTAAATGGGTTCTGTTCATTGTCACGGGGGGGGGGGGGGGGGGGTGTGAGTGTGTGTCTGTCTGTGTCAGTGTCTGTGATGGGGGTGGTAGATAACCTCCCACAGCAGTTTCAGGAAATCTGAAAGATGAAGGGCCTGTGGGGCTGGGTGCAGGCTGTTGTTCAGCCCTGTCCTCAGGCGTCCCAGACAGTTGTTCTGGGAGGAGTTTCATTCCCACCCCAGTTTTTTTGCTTCATTGTGTACCTTGGACACCCCAGGAGAAATTTTTTTCCACTGGCGTCATAGGCAAGGACTTTGGCTTCCTTCGTAGTGGGGCAGGGGTCAACGGATGTGGTTAGTAGTTCTACCTGAAAGAGTGTATCCCACATGGGACTGGCCTTAGGTGGGTCCTAACATTCAGACTCCTGCCGGCTGGGGCTCGACTATGAGCAGAAACCTTGGAAGCTCGCCAAGTTCACTCTCCTTGCCTAACTCCCAGAGAGAATCTGGAGGTGTTTCCTGAAACCAAACTAGACCTCTGTGGCCCCAAAGCAGGGGGGTCTTTGCTGTCTTCTTCCTATATGGGGGTAGAGGGTGGGTACGCCAGAGGATGCCGTGTAGGAAAGCAAACCTATTGCTGGTACAAGGGCAGCCATCTCGTTCACTTAGGGCCGGTTTAGAGCGGTTGCTACCTGCTTGGGGGCCCCACCCTGGTATTTGCCTCTCCCCACCTTTTCCCCTGAAGCTAAAAGCTTGAGAGCTGGGAGAAGGTGGGCCTGGGAAGGCTCTGCAAATTGTAGCTGGGAGCCTTCGGGCAAAACCTGAGCGAAAGGGAGAGGCGGCTGGCCTAAAATTTAGGTGGGCGGGAAGAGCCTGCGATGGAGCTCTGACAGCTGCACAGGCGAGAGACCCTGGAGTCCTCACCCCGGGGTCGGGGGCCTAACCTGCTGAGCTGGGCCGCCCCCTCTCCACACCCACTCCCAGCACCTGGCCCGACCTATCGGCTGGCGGCTACGCCTCCTTTGCCCTACAGTCTCGCTGCCCGTCGCACCCTGCGTGAGCCCAGTACTCGGCCGCCAGCAGGAGCTGCCAGGCTGTGGAGGGCGCCCCGGAAGCTATGGGTAAGTGCAGGGGGTTTGAGGTGGCTTCCCTGGGCAACCGTGGACACGGTAACAGCCCACACCACCCCCAACTCCCGCTGCCCTCTACGGTGCCTGGGGACACGCCCGCCCTGGCCAGGTTGCTACACCTGGGCCTTTCTGAGCCGCGCACCGGCCCTGTCCTCCGCCCGCAGAGGTCCTGGTCCTGGCCGGATACCGCGCGCAGAAGGAGGACGAGCTGAGTCTGGCGCCCGAAGACTTGGTCTGGCAGGTGGGCTGGGGGCCCGCGCGGGGCTGGCTTCACCGAGGGCTGGGGTGCCTCCAGGGCCTTTTCCCCGAGCGCCCGGTGCAGGTGAGGCCGAGCCAGGGGCGGGCTGGGGGTCTCAGCGTGCGCCCCCCACCGAGAGCTGAGAGGGCCCTCCCGGTGCTTCATTCCCAGGAGATCCCAAAGACCCTGCGGGGCTCCGGAGAGGCGCGGAGACCGCGCTGCGCGCGCCGCCGAAGTAAGCTCAAGGGTCGGAGCCAGGGCCGGTGGGCGGGCGCGCGGAACCCTTGCGACCCTGGCGCCTCCACCTCTTGGCGACGGGGGCGTACCTGGGCGGGGCCTCGGGGCCGCTCTGCGGTCTGTGATTGGTTCTCGAGTACAATGCTCCTCCCTGGGGCGGGGCTGGAGGTAGCAAAGCCTGCTCGCGCGACCCCAGAGCTTCCCCCAACTCCGCGTACTGGGGCATCCGGCTCGAGTTCCCCCGCTATTGTCTGGTGCTAGGTCATCCTGCCAAATTGCCGGGCCCCCAAAGATGGTGCAAAGTGAACTTCAACTACAGCCCAGAGCAGGCGGACGAGCTGAAGCTGCAAGCTGGGGAGATCGTAGAAATGATAAAGGAGGTGAGGGGTGAGGTGATGGGACTATTTGAGGGAAGATGATGAACCACGTCTCCCGAGTGAGCGGGGTGGAAGGTGAGGGTGTGTACGGTGGGAATGGTGATGGCGCAGACATGGAGAAGCCGGAGAGCAAGGGAGGAGGGAGCCCTTGGGCAGAACCAAGGGGGGAAGATTATTCTAGAGACCCTTAGGGCAGAACCAGATGCCCCTGCGTCCTGCCCCCTCCCCAGATTGAGGACGGCTGGTGGCTGGGGAAGAAGAACGGGCAGCTGGGAGCCTTCCCATCCAACTTTGTGGAATTGCTGGACACTGGGCCCCCAAGTGAGACCTCGACCCTGTGACCCTGTGACTCCTGGGACCAGACTGCACTCTCCAATGACCTTCCAGTGGCATGAGCCACATATCCTGACCTTGTAACCCCTTTGACCCTCTCCCATGACCTAACCTGTGAATTAGCACCCTCCCTAACCTCACTGTCCCCCACCAGGCCTTGATAACCCAGACATGCCTTCAGTCAGCCCTGATCCCCAGCGGCCTCCCAAGGTAAGTTGGCTCAAAGTGGGCATAGAGGTGGTGAGTTCCTCTTGGGGTGGTTGAAGACTCATCTGGTTCCTCCTTGCCCCTTCCCCCACTAGCTGAGCAGCCTGACATATGACTGCCCTCCAGACTACCTGCAGACAGGTGAGCACCCAGCCAAAGGATCCCCCACCCCTCAGCTACTCCCAAGGTTGGGACTTGGGGGGGCCAGCTAGGCTGATGGAGGCAGGGGCTGCTGACAGATGCAGGAAGCTTGGCTACAGAGGACAGTGGACTGACCTCTTCCCAGTCTCCCACCCTGAGGCCTACAGAGTCCTGTTTGACTACCAGCCTGAGGCCCCAGATGAGTTGGCTCTGCGGAGGGGCGACGTGGTGAAAGTACTAAGCAAGGTGTGAGAAGAACAGGGCAGGGAGGGCCCAGGGAAGGGGGTGTTGGGATGGATGGACCTGCACATGTACCCCCGAGTCTAAAATAAATGTTGAAATTATATCTATAAGGAGTGGGATGCCAGAAAGGACCTTGGGGGACCTGGCTTACCTCTCTACCGGCATGTTTCTTTCCCAGACCACAGGGGATAAGGGCTGGTGGGAAGGAGAATGTCAAGGACGAAGAGGAGTTTTTCCAGACAACTTCGTACTCCCATCACCCCCAGTAAGTACAGAGCCAAGTACAGGTGGCAGGGTCAAGAGCAAGACTCCGTCTCAAAAAAAAAAAAAAAAAAAAGGAAAAGAAAAAAAGAATAAAGCTTGGGAATGGGACCCAAACCTAAACACGAAATTCATTTATGTTTCATATACACCTTAAACCATAGCCTGAGGGTAATTTTATATAGTATTTTTAATAATTTTGTGCATGAAACAAAGTTTTGACTGAGACCTGACAGGTAAGTTAGGTTGGGTGTGGAATTTTCCACTTGAGGCATAATGTTGGCACTCACAAACTTTCAGAGTTTGGAGCATTTTGGATTTTTGGGGTTTTTTTGAGACGGAGTCTCGCTCTATCACCCAGGCTGGAGTGCAATGGCAGGATCGCTGGTCACTGCAACCTCCGCCTCCCAGGTTCAAGCAACTCCTGCCTCAGCCTCCCGAGTACTTGGGTTACAGGTGCATGCCACCATGTCTGGCTAATTTTTGTATTTTTAGTAGAGACGGGATTTTTGTCATGTTGGCCAGGCTGCTCTCAAACTCCTGACCTCAAGTGATCCACTCTCCTCGGCCTCCCAAAGTGCTGGGATTATAGGTGTGAGCCACCACACCCAGCCTGCATTTTGGATTTCTGATTTTTAGATTAGGGATGCTCAACCTTTGCTTCTTTTCTGCATAGATCAAGAAGCTAGTCCCACGGAAAATGGTATCTCAGGAATCAGGTGCGTGTCCGGGGATCCCGGGATTGGGGAGTGTTCTCTGGGAGAGCCACCAGTCCAGTTGCCCCTAAACACCCACAGCACCCCAGTGGTCCAGTACTCCCCCATAGAGTCCCCTCACCTGTGGGTCAAGAGCTGGGTAGGAATGTATGTGAATCAATGTGTGGGTCAATTTGTGTGTGTGTTAATATGTCAATGTTTCTCTGTGTGTCTTGAGAATGTGGTTATTGATGGGTATAGATTTGTTTCATTTTGAAGGAAACATATAAATCTTTGCACACAAATGAGACTGTATGTTCACATGTCTTATGTGTCAGTGAATAGCTCTGTGTATCAGTGGGGATGCCTTTTAATTTATCATTTAATGTAATATTTGACATGTCAAAAATATATATAACACATATGTTATATAATTTAACGCCCCTGGGCTGGGCACAGTGGCTCACACCTGTAATCCTAGCACTTTGGGAGGCCAAGGCAGGTGGATCACCTGAGGTCAGGAGTTCAAGACCAGCCTGGCCAACATGGCGAAACCCCATCTCTACTAAAAATACAAACGTTAGCCAGATGTGGTGGCACATGCCTGTAATCCCAGCAACTCAGGAGGCTGAAGCAGGAGAATCACTTGAACCAGGAAGGGGGAGGTTGCAGTGAGCTGAGATTACACCACTGTACTCCAGCCTAGGTGACAGAGCGACACTCTGTCTCAAAAAAAAAAAAAAAAAAAATTTAACACCCATGAGCACCCATAGTATGTCACGCAAACCTAAGGACTAGAACATTGCCTACACTTTGTGTCTTTCTCCTCTTTCCCATTCTGCCACTTCCCTCACCCCAGAGGTAATCACTGTCTTAAATTTTATGGTTATGATTCCCCTGAGTTTTTAAGTTTTTTTTTTTTTGAGACGGAGTTTCACTGTTGCTAACCAGACTGGAGTACAATGGCACAATCTCGGCTCACCGCGTCCTCGGCCTCCTGGGTTCAAGCAATTCTCCTGCCTCAGCCTCCCGAGTAGCTGGGATTACAGGCGAGCACTACCATGCCCAGCTAATTTTTGTATTTTTAGTAGAGATGGGGTTTCACCTTGTTGACCAGGATGGTCTCGATCTCTTGACCTCAGGTGATCCACCCGCCTCGGCCTCCCAAAGTGCTGGGATTATAGGCATAAGCCACTGTGCCCAGCCAAGTTTTTAAGTTTTCTTACAAAAGTATGTGTCTAGAAAAAAAAAAAAGAAAAAAAAGTATGTGTCTAAACACTATATCACTAAATTCGTTGTTTTGAGCTTCATAAAAATGATAGCATGTTTATAGTCTTCTGAGACTTGCTGGGGTTTTTTTTTGCTTTTGAGATGGAGTCTTACTCTGTCACCCAGGCTGGAGTGCAGTGGTGTCATCTCAGCTCACTGCAACCTCCACCTCGCAGGTTCAGGCAATGCTCCCTCAGCCTCCTCCTACAGGTGCCTGCTGCTACACCCGGCTAATTTTTTGTATTTTAGTAGAGATGGAGTTTCACCGTGTTGCCCAGGCTGGTCTCAAACTCCTGAGCTCAGGCAATCTGCCCGCCTTGGCCTCCCAAAGTGCTAGGATTACAGGAGTGACCCACCATGCCAGGTTGAGACTTGCTGTTTTTAATCACCATTATGTTTCTAAGATTCTTCCATGTTATGTGTAGATGTGGTACATTTATTTTTTTCTGCTGTATAATATCCCTTTAGGGAATTTGCAATTTATGTTTCTGGTTTCCTCCTGATGTTGGACATTTTTGCATTTTTGTTGGATATTTTGTGGCTTCTAGGTTTTTTAGTTTTTGTTTTGAGACAGTCGCACTCTGTCACCCAGGCTGGAGTACAGTGGTGAGATCACAGCTTGTTGCAACCTCTGCCTCCTGGGTTCAAGCGATTCTCCTGTTTCAGCCTCCTGAGTAGCTGAGATTACAGGATGCACCATCATGCACAACTAATTTTATATTTTTAGTAGAGACAGGGTTTCACCGTGTCAGCCAGTCTGGTCTCGAACTCCTGACCTCAGGTGATCTGCCCACCTCAGCCTCCCAAAGTACTGGAATTACAGGTGTGAGCCACCGTGCCTAGCCTCTAGTTTTTTATTATTGCACATAGTGCTGCTGTGAATATTCCTAAGTCTGTCTCCTGGAATACAGAAACAACAGCTGCTCTAGGGAATCATCCTCGGAGTAGCATTGCTGGATTAGATTGCGTGTGAATGTTCAACTTTTCTGAGATAAAGTCAAATTGATTTTCAAAGTGATTGTACACTTTAACACTCTGCCATCAGTGTGTTAAGTAAGAGCCTATTGACTGAGATGTCTTTAACACTTGATGTTATCAGATTTTGCTATTTTTGTGAATCTAGTAGGTAAAAAGTAGTATCTCATTTGTGGACTTAATATGCATTTCCCAGGTTACTAATAATTTGTAGGAGTTCTTTATATATTCTGAATACCAATCCTTTTGGGTATACATGTTGACAGTATTTATTTTATCTCTGAGTGGTCTCCATTATTTTCTTATTTTTTTGAGGTGGAGTCTCTGGCCAGGCTGGAATGCAGTGGCGCAATTTCGGCCCACTGCAACCTCTGCCTCCTGGGTTTAAACGATTTTCCTGCCTCAGCCTCCTGAGTACCTGGGACTACAGGCGCCTGCCACCACACCCAGCTAATTTTTGTATTTTCACCATGTTGGCCAGGATGGTCTCAATCACCTGACCTCGTGACCCACCCGCCTCAGCCTCCCAAAGTGCTGGAATTACAGGCATGAGCCACTGTCCCTGGCTGATTATTATTTTTTTTTAAGAGACAGTCTTACCATCTTGCCCAGGCTGGTGTGTAGTGGCTATTCACAGGTGCAATCATAGTGCACTGCAACCTTGAACAGCAGTTCCAGGCCCCGGCAGTCCTTTTGCCTCAGCCTCCTGAGTAGTTGAGACTACAAGTACGCACCACCATGCCCAGCTTTTCATAATTTTTCAAAAAGCGTTTTTTGATTAATAGAAGTTCTTAATTTTGATGGAAAAAAAATATATCAATCTTATCCTTAATGGTTAGCAGGTTTCTTTTTTAAGAAATCATTCCCTACCAGGCACACTGGCTCATGCCTTTAATCCCAGCACTTGGAAGGCTGAGGCGGGCAGATCCCTTGAGGTCAGTAGTTCGAGACCAGCCTGGACAACATGGAGAAACCCAGTCTTTACTATAAATACAAAAAAAAAAAAAAAAAATTAGCTAGGCATTAAAATGTTGCTTTTCATATTAGTGCTTTTATCCATGTAGCAGTGATTTTAATGAGTGATACAATTATACCCTTTTCCCTATGGACAATCGATTATTCCACATTGTTTATCATTTTCTACATGTGAGTTTATACAATTTTGGGGTTTGTTTTTTAGAGACAGTCTCTCTCTGTCGCCCAGGCTGGAGTGCAGTGGCGTGATCTCAGTTCACTGCAATCTCTACCTCCTCAATTCACCTACCTCAGCCTCCAGAGTAGATGGGACTAGAAACACACACCGCCATGCCCGGCTAATTTCTTTTGTATTTTAGTAGAGACGGGGTTTTGCTGTGTTACCCAGGCTAGTCTTGAACTCCTGAGCTCAGGCAATCCACCTGCCTTGGCCTCCCAAACTGTTTGGATTACAGGCATGAGCCACTGCGCCTGGCCAGGGGTTTTTTTGAGAAAGGGTCACTGGGCCTTTGTTACCCAGGTTGGAGTGCAGTGGCCATTGTAGCTCATCGCAGCTTCAACCTCCTGGGCTCAAGTGATTCTTCTGCCTCAGCCTCTTGAGTAGCTGGGACTACAGGCAAAAGCTAGCATGTGCCGCTAATCTTTTAATTTTTTGTAGAGATGGAGTCTCACTGTGTTGCCCAGGCTGGTCTTGAACTCCTGGGCTCAAGCAGTTCTCCTGTCTTGGCCTCCCAAAGTGCTGGGATTAGAGGCATGAGCCATGGTGCCTGGCTTAGTTTTATACATAAAACTATAATTTTCATAAGGTTTATTCCTAGATATTCTTAGATATCTCAGAGTTTTGTGTCTTTAAAAAAAATAGACATTCTTCTGTTTATTGCAAGAAGTAGAAACGCACTGTTTTTTGTATAAACTCTGATTATTGGCCAGGTGCAGTGGCTCACACCTATAATCCCAGCACTTTGGAAAGCCGACGTAGGTGGATCACAAGGTCAGGAGATTGAGACCAGCCTAGCCAACATGGTGAAACCCCGTCTCTACTAAAAATACTCAAGTGAGCCAGGCGTAGTAGCGGCCATCTGTAATCCCAGCTACTCAGGAGGCTGAGGCAGAGAACTGCTTGAACCTGGGAGGCAGAGGTTGGAGTGAGCCGAGATCACGTCACTGCACTTACGGCCTGGACAACACAGCAAGACTGTCTCAAAAAAAAAAAAAAAAAAAAATCTGGCCAGGCGCAGTGGCCCACGCCTGTACTCCCAGCAATTTGGGAGGCCGAGGCGGGTGGATCACAAGGTTAAGAGATCAAGACCATCCTGGCCAACATGGTGAAACCCCGTCTCTACTAAAAATACAAAAAATTAGCTGGACGTGGTAGCACATGCCTGTAATCCCAGCTACTTGGGAGGTATGAGGCAGGAGAATCACTTGAACCCAGGAGGTAGAGGTTGCGGTGAGCCGAGAATGCGCCTTTGCACTCCAGCCTGGGCAACAAGGGCAAAACAAACTCTGATTATTTTTAGTAATTTATTTGTAGATTCTTTTTTTTTTCTTTGAAAAGGAGTTTCCTTCTTCATTGCCCAGGCTGGAGTGCAATGGTTCAATCTTGGCTGTCTGCAGCCTCTGCCTCCCAGGTTCAAGTGATTCTCCTGTTTCAGCCTCCCAAGTAGGTGGGATTACAGGCATGTGCCACCACACCCTGCTAATTTTGTATTTTTTAGTAGAGACAGGGTTTCTCCATGTTGGTCAGGCTAGTCTCCTCCAACTCCTGACCCAACCTCAGGTGATCTACCCACCTTGGCCTCCCAAAGTGCGGGGATTACAGGCGTGAGCCACAGTGCCTAGCCTTCATTTGTAGATTCTTATAAGTTTTCTATGAAGACAGACATGTCATTTGTGAATAATAATTTTGTTTCATTCTCTTGACTCCCGCCTTTTAATTTCATTTTATTAATGTATTGTAATAATTGGGATCTCATACAATAGAAGAATTGAAGAGAAGTAGTGAGGGTGAACATCGTTGTCATGTTCCAGATTTTGAATCTAGTTTCCCCTTTTTTTCTTTTGAGACAGAGTCTCATTCTGTCACCTAGGCTGGAATGCAGTGGCACAGTCTTGGCTCACTGCAACCTCTGCCTACAAGCAATTATCCTGCCTCAGCCTCCAGAGTAGCTGGGACTACAGGTGTACACCACCACATCTGGCTAAATTTTTTTTGTATTTTTAGTAGAGACGGGTTTCACCATGTTGGCCAGGCTGGTCTCAAACTTCTGGCCTCAAGTGATTTTCCTGCCTCTGCCTCCCAAAGTGCTGGGATTACGGCTGTGAGTCACTGTGCCTGGCCTAGTTTCCCCTTTTATTTCAGAGTCTCGCTCTGTCGCCAGGCTGGAGTGCAGTGGTGTGATCTTGGCTCACTGCAACCTCTGCCTCCCAAGTTCAGGCCATTCTCCTGCCTCAGCCTCCCGAGTAGCTGGGACTACAGGTGCCTGCCATCACGACCAGCTAATTGTTGTATTTTCAGTAGAGACAGGGTTTCATCATGTTGGCCAGGATGGTCTCAATCTCCTGACCTTGTGATCTGCCCACCTTGGCCTCCTAAAGTCCTGGGATTACAGGCGTGAGTCACTGCGCCTGGCCCAGTTTTCCCTTTTACCAACGATGTTCGCCTAGGCAGTTTGTAGGTATCTTTTTGTCAGGCCGAGTAAGGTTCTGTTTCTGTTTTACTTAGAATTTTTACAATAAATGAGTGTAGAATTTTCTCAATTTATCTGAATGTTTTGAAATGATCATATAGGTTATTACATTTTTGTACTTATTGTTTTTGAAACAGAGTCTTACTCCATCACTCATGCTGGAGTGCAATGGTATGATCATCACCCACTGTAACCTCAAAGTCCTGGCTCAAGTGATCCTCCTCACTCAGCCTCCCAAGTAGCTGGGACTACAGGCATGTGCCACCATGCCCAGCTAATATATTAATTTTTTTGTAGAGGCAGGGCCTTTATGCCTAGGCTCCTCTCAAACTCCTGGCCCTCAGCCATCCTCCCACTTCAGCCTCCCAAGTGCTGGGATTACAGGGGTGAGCTGCTGTGCTCGGCCCTTACCTTTAATCTGTCAATGTGATGAATGACATTTGCAGAAATTTCAAACCACTTGTGCCTTCCTGGGATAAGTCCGACTTAATCATGGTTTATTATCTTTTTATATTGTTGTAATATTATTCTAGTTTTTCTTAAGATTTAAACAACTTCTTGACTTTAATAGTTAAAGAAACATCTGGGCAAAATTCTTGAATCAGTTGTGGAGTTACATGTTTTAAATTATCTACTTTATCTAAATTTTCTAATTATTTGCATAAAGTTTTTCATAGTATACTCTTTTCTTTTGGAGAGATAGGGTCTTGTTCTGTTGCCCAAGCTAGACTGTGGTAGCACAATCAGAGCTCACTGTAGCCTCAAACCCTGGGCTCAAGTGATCCTCCCACCTCAACCTCCCGAGTAGCTAGGACTATGGGTGTGTACCACCATACCTGGCTAGTTTTTAAATTTATTGTAGAGAAAAGGTCTTGCTATGTTGCCCAGGCTGATTTTGAACTCCTGTGCTCAAGTGATCCTCCTCCCTTGGCCTCCCAAAATACTATGATTACAGATGTGAGCCCCTTCACTCAGTTCTTTTTGTTATTTTTTTAATGAAACAGTCCTAGTGGGTATGAAGGGGTATCTCATTGTGGTTTTGATTTGCATTTCTCTGATGGCTAATGAAGCTGAGCATATTTTCATGTACTTATTTCTTTTCTTTTCCCTTTTCTTTTTTGAGATGGAGTTTCTCTCTTGTTCCCCAGGCTGGAGTGCAATGGTGCGATCTTGGCTCACCGCAACCTCCGCCTCCTGGGTTCACGCAATTCTCCTGCCTCAGCCTCCTGAGTAGCTGGGATTACAGGCACGCGCCACAATGCCCAGCTAATTTTTTGTATTTTTAGTAGAGACGGGGTTTCACCATGTTGACCAGGATGGTCTCGATCTCTTGATATCGTGATTCGGCCTCCCAAAGTGCTGGGATTACAGGCTTGAGCCACCGTGCCCGGCCTCTTTTCTTTTCTTTCTTTTTTTTTTTTTATTGGTCTTTTGCCAGTATCATGTGCCTATTTCTTTTTTTCTTTTCTTTTCTTTTTTTTTTTTTTGAGATGAGTTTTGCTCTTGTTACCCAGGCTGGAGTGCAATGGCGTGATCTCAGCTCACCGCAACTTCTGCTTCCTGGGTTCAGGGAACTCTCCTGCCTTAGTCTCCTGAGTAGCTGGGATTACAGGCATGTGCCACCATGCCCAGCTAATTTTTTGTATTTTTAGTAGAGATGAGGTTCCACCATGTTGGCCTGGCTGGTCTCGAACTCCTGACCTCAGGTGATCCACTTGTCTCAGCCTCCCAAAGTGGTGGGATTACAGGCATCAGCCACAACACCTGGCCGAGAATTTGCTTTTACTTCTGCCTGTAGCCAGAGAACACGACCCACTAGAGGCTGCTTCAGCCCTCCTGAAGAAATGTGGCACTGCTGTGTGGTACTGAGCTTTGGGCCTGTGGTGAGCTGAGGGAGCAGAGCCCAGGGCCCAGACTTCACATCACAGGCCCCAGGCATAGCAGCTACATAGCAGAGCTGCCCTCCCTTTGCCTTTCTGGCTTCAGCTCTTTCTCTCTCTCTCTCTCTCTTTTTTTTTTTTGAGACAGAGTTTCACTCTTGTTGCCCAGGCTGGAGTGCAATGGTGTGATTCGGCTCACTGCAACTTCTGTCTCTCAGGTTCAACCGATTCTCCTGCCTCAGCCCCTCCAGTAGCTGCAACTACAAGCGTGCACCACCACACCCAGCTAATTTTTGTACTTTTAGTAGAGACAGAGTTTCACTATGTTGCCCATGCTGGTCTGGAACTCCTGACCTCAGGTGATCCGCTCACCTCAGCCTCCCAAAGTGCTGGGATTATAGGTGTGAGCCACTGCACCCAGCCCTTCTGCCTAGTCTTGTCAGTCACTCTTAACTCTCTATCACACTATGTATTTTACTCGTTTTATTTAGTCTGCTTCCCCAGTAGAACATAAACTCAGTCTGGCTGCTGTGGAAAGAACACACGCTGGGTGGGGTGGGTACAGCCAAAACCCAGGTGAAGGTACAGGTGACCTGGTCTAGAGCACTTAGTGGTGGAGATGGTGACAAGTGACTGGGTTCGGGAAATACTTGGGCAGTAGCATGGACAGGAGGTGCTGATGGTTTGGATGTGCCTCATAAGGAAATAAAGGGAGTCATTTGTCGTTCAAGCAAGTGGGTAAATGGGCCAGATGGGGACCATGGGGAAAGGGGTGGATTCAAGGGGCCATTCGGGTTGGGAAGCAAGAGATTGGTTTGGGATGTTAAGCGTGTGATGCCCACCAGCGCTCCAACTGTAAATATTGAGAGGGAGGTTGGACATGAGTCTGGAGCTCAGGGAAGAATGAGCTAGAGATGAAAATTTGGGAGTCACTGACTTGATGATAATTAAACTCATAAGACTAGGTGAGCTCTCTCAGGGAGTAAATGAGAGAGAAGATAAAGAATCCTGAGGGTGGGCCGGGCGCCGGGGCTCACGTCTGTAATCCTAGCACTTTGGAAGGCCGAAGCAGGCTGATCACTTGAGGTCAGGAGTTCAAGACCAGCCTGTCCAACATAGTGAAACCCCTTCTCTACTAAAAATACAAAAATCAGCCGGGCGCGGTGGCAATGTGCCTATAATCCCAGATACTCGGGAGGCTGAGGCAGGAGAATCCCTTGAACGTGGGAGGCGGAGGTTGTAGTGAGCCAAGATCATGCCTTTGCACTCCAGGGGTGACAGAGTGAGACTCAGTCTCAAAAAAAAAAAAAAAAAAAAGAATTCTGAGGGTGGACTGAAAGGGGGAAGGTTGTTGCCACAATCCAGGAATGAGATGAAGTCTGAACCAGGGAAGAGCCATGGGTGCTCGGAGGGACAGGTTTTAGAAAAGTATAGATTAAAAACCTGCCAGGACATGAGCCATCTCCCCTGCAGAGCCTTCTCTGACAACCATCTGCTGGGTGTCCCCCTGAGGTACTCCCACAGTTCCCCATGCATGAGTGTGGTCAGTGTCCCAGGAGACAGAGTCAACCGAGAGTCATCTCCTGCCCCTAGTCCCCTGCACACAGCACAAGACAGGGTCAGTGACTGTTAGATGGATGAACGCTCCATGCCTCTCTCTTCCCAGCTCCTATTAAGGAACCAAAAAAGTTGATGTCCAAAGCATCCCTCCCTACAGTCAAGAAGTTAGCAGCAGCCCCCACTGGGCCCAGCAAAGCCAAGTAAGGAACAGGATGGGGTTGGGGGAAGGAGGGTAGAAGGAAATGCCCCTCCCTGTGCCCCACACCCAGGGCCTGATGAAGATGTGTTCCAGGACGTCTCGGACACCCAGCAGGGACAGTCAGAAGCCCACCTCCCGAGACTCAGGTAGGGGCTGCCTTCCTCCAGTGTGGGGAGGCCTGGAGGACAGGAGTGGGGTGGCTGTGCTGAGGGACAGAGGTGGGAAGAAATGGGGGGTCAGAGTAGGCTTGGGTCCCTGAAGTTCTGCTCTCTTAGGCCCCAGTGGCGGCTTCCAAAGTAGAGCTTCGTGCCACACTGGCCGAAAGCGATCCAAAACCCAGACTCCCCAGCAACGCTCTGTGTCCAGCCAGGTAAGGGTCAGGAGGCATGGGAGAGTGGGGGTGCTGGGCAGAGGCTGGGCACACACTTGTGTGCATGGGTGAAGCATCCCGGGCCACGGGGAACCAGACTCAACCTCAGCTGAGACTTCACCTCCCATCACAACAGGAGGAAGAGCAGAGCAGCCCAGCAAAGGCCCCCTCTGTGAAGAGAACCCCCATGCTGGACAAGACCACCACCCCAGAGAGGCCCCCAGCTGTGGAAAAGGCCCCCAGCTCCAAGAAGATCCCAGCTCCTGACAGCGTCCCCTCCCCAGAGAAGACCCTCCCAGGGAACTCCACCTTGGGAAAGATGCCGGCTCCTGACAAAGTCCCCACCTCAGAGAAGATGGTGACTCTGGAGGAAAAGACCTCTGTCCCGGAGAACTCCATCCCAGAGAAGACCCCAACTACAGACAAATCCTCCATTCCAGAAAGGCTCTTTTCCATGGAAGAGGCTCCTGCCCCAGAAGTCCCACCTATGAATAAAGTCCTTGATCCAAAGATGGCCCCTCTGGGCAATGAGGCCCCCACCCTAGAAAAGGTCTTGACCCCAGAGCTTTCTGAAGAGGTGTCCACCAGCAGTGACACTCAGTGCTATCACTGCTCTCCAGAGGAAGGCCTGCAGAAGGTCAAGTCCTTTGTAGCCAGAGAGGCTCAAGCCCAGGAGAGGGTCCACAGGCCAGCAGCACCCTCACTCCAGCCTCCTTCCTCCAAGAGGTGCCTGGGCGGGATGAAATGCCCCCTAGTTAGAGGGGACAGCTCCCGACCCCAGGCTGAGTTGAAGTCTGGGCCAGCATCCCGGCCTGCCCTAGAGAAGCCCCCCACCCAGGAAGAGGCTACCCCTCTTCTAGAGGGGGCACCTTCCAAAGACCAGAGGACTCCTGAAGAGGAGGTGCCCCCCAATGAGGAGAGGCCTCTGAGAGAGGAGGTGCTCCCCAAAGAGGGAGTGGCTTCCAAAGAGGAGGTGCCCCCAAAAGAGGAATTACCCCCAAAAGAGGTGCTCCCCAAAGAGGAAGTGGCTCCAAAAGAGGAGGTGCCCCCTAATGAAGGAGTCTTTGCCCAAAAAACACGTCCTATCAAGCCCCCTCCAGACTCCCAAAAGATGCTGACACTCCCCACCCTGGTCCCACAAAACTCCTCGGAAAGCAAGAATGAGGGAGTCGATGTAACAATGCTGAAGGGCGAGGTGGAGTCTCTAAGGAGGGCGCTGGAGCTGATGAGGGTGCAGCTGGAGTGAGTGGGCAGCGGCGGGGTGTGGAAGGGAGGGTCCCCCCCAGCGCTCACCTGCCCAGCCCCTCACCTCCACCTCGGCCTGCAGGAAAAAGCTGACGGACCTCTGGGAGGAGCTGAAGAGCGAGAAGGAGAAGCGCCAGCGGCTGGAGGTGAGGCGTGTGTCCCGGCGGGAGGGGGCCGGCAGCGGTTCGCACCCTGACAGTCTCCACTCCCGACCAGGTCCAGCTGATGCAGGGGACCCAGAAGTGCCAGACCCAGCACATCACCCACGCACAGACGCAGACCTCCTGAGGACGGGCCTGGGAAGGGGCCGCGGCCCGACCTGGCTGGGGCCACCCACGTTCTTGCACACGACTTTGGGAAACACGAGAAAGTAAATTCTGCTTCGCACAGCTTGGTTTGGTCGCTGGGGGCGGGGCCTGCGAGGGGGCAGGGCCTGGGCCTCCGCATTCCGGGCGGTCTGTGCCGATCACATCTGGCCAACATGTGGCTCCCATTACCATTCCCAAGGCCTGCGCGCGGCTATTTTTATCCATCGGATGGTGAGGGGCGGAGGAGAGTGTCTCCTTCGGACGCCAGCCGCGCGCTGGAGAAATGGCGGGCAGGAGGGGCCCCGGCGGGGTCGGGCTGTGTCGCCCGGCCTGGATTCCGGAATCCAGCTGTGCGCCGGGGAGGAGCCGGGCGGGCCTTCTCGCGAGCTCAGACCCCTCCCAGTTGGCCTCCTGGTCCGCTCAGAGGGACTCCTGCCCTCTCGCTTGAACGCACCTCGGCGCAGACGTCAAGTCCACCGCCCAGCCCAAGCACGCATGGTTACACCGGGGCTAACAGCACCTTAGCCTCGAGGTCAGGGTCCCGAGGCCTGGTGTGTGTGTGTCATTGGAATGTATGAACTCAGGGCACACACTGTGGGGACGGGGCGACGTGTGCCCAGGCGCTTGCCGGTAAGGAATGCGTTTTAGTAAGGAATGCGTGTGCACTGCTCTGTGTGTGCGGCTGGGTGCAGACCTGGGGGCTTCTGTTTCTGCTGGCTGTGGAGTGAACGTGGGCAGGTGTGCTGTGTCGTCAGGTTGGGGGGGTGTGCAGCCAGGGTAAAGGAGTCAAGCGGGGCCTCAGCCCTGGGACCCCGGCGTGGCAGGAGCCTGGGGTCCGTTGGGGTCAGGGGTAACAGAGGGAGAGACTGAGTCACTGAGAATGCAGCTTTCTTTCATTTGGTCACTTCACCTCTTCATCGTCCCCCAGAGAGGGAGTGGGGACCCTGCATCCTGCCCCCTCCCCCGCCCCCGGGGTCTTCTGGCAGGACTGGGGCAGGGAGCCTCTTAGGGGGTGGCGGTCCACGCCCAGTAGCACCGGAGAGCCATGGGGGCCAAGGCAGTCCTAAGGTCTGGGGCAGCTCTGTGCTCCTGTGCAGTCCGGCACCCCCAGCGCCTTGCAGCTGGAGCCAGGGCCCATCAGTAATAGTGCATGCGGCTCAGGGTGCCCGCGCCCGTGGCCGTGGGGCTGGGCCCCAGCGTGCCTGTGCCCAGCAGGTCCGGCTGCCCGGTGCGCCAGATCTCCCGCAGGATCCGCTCGCGCTCCTCCAGCCGCTGCGCCCGCTCCAGCTCCTCCGCCGACGTGAAGACGTTGACGCTGAGGGGCCCGTCGGGCTCCGCGGACAGCTCGGGGCCCGGCAGCGTGTCGTCCGGGCCCAGCCGCGTCACCGTGTCCTCCTCGTCCTCGTCGTCGTCCTCGGGCTCCAGGGTGCTGCCGCGGGGGTCCCGGCGCTGAGCTGGGCCCCGGGGCCGCGGGCGCGGCGCCCACGAGATGCTGATGACGAGCAGGCAGAGGGTGAGCAGCAGGCCGAAGCAGACGCCCAGCACGAAGTAGAGGCCGAAGCTCTCGGGGTTGGCTGCGAGGCACAGGGCGGGGGTCACAGAGGGGCCCGGGCGAGTGGGAGGCGTCCCACTTGGAAAAGACCCCAGGTTCTAGGTCTGGGGGCAAGGCCTGTAACCCCTACTCGAAGGGCATGAGGGAACCGCCAGCGGGCAAGGGGTCGGGAGCGGGGCGGAGAGGACGCGCGAGGCGCTGGGGAGGGAAGGGGATGGTGGGCAGGGAAGGGTCCAGGCCCCCGGTCTTCCGGCGCCCGCCCTCACCGCGGATGTGCGCGTAGGCAGCCAGGCTGTTGCTGAGCAACTCCATGTCCCTTCGCGGGGCATCCATGCTGTTCTGGGGGACAGCTCCCCTGCCAGCCTGCGAGGTCAGCAAAGTAGTCAGATCCTCCTCCCAGCCTGGAGCCGACCCCGACCCCTTCCTCGGGCAGCTCCCGGGTTCCACCCTGGAGAGAGCGCTTCCCTAACTTCGTGGCGGCCCCGGGCCCTGCCGGGGGAACCCCTCTCCCGAGCGCGGAAGCCCCTCCAGCCCGGGGAGCAGCGCCGGGGGCTGCGGGAAGCCCCGCCCCCTTGTGGGGTCCCCAGCAGAGACAGAGTTCCGCAGTCCCGGAGCGGGATGGAGGATGGGGACGCGGAGCCTCCTCCACTCCCCAGCTGGGCTCGGGGAAGGGAAGCCGTCTCCCTCCCCGCTCCGCGGGTACCCACCGGCCCCGGGCCGGGCCCACTCACCGTCAGCGCCCCGCTTCCCGGCTGCCCAACCCCGGCGCGTCCCGCGGCGGCATACACTGGCCCCCGCCCCCGCCCGCTCCGGTCCCGCCGCCCCTCCGGCCTCGCTGGGCTCCCAGGCCGCGGCAGCGCGGGCGGGACACGGGCGGAGGGACCAGCCGGCGGAAAGTTTCCTCCTAGGAAAGAGGAGGGACGGAACGGGGCGGGGCGGGCGGGGAGGCGGGGAGGAAAAGGGCCGGGAGAGGAAGGGGAGAGGAGCGGGCAGCCAGGAGGAGGGAGAGTCGGGCCGGCGGGCCGTTCGTCCCCAACAGGAAACCGCCCGGGAGGCCGCGGCTGGGACCCGCCCCCAGGCCACTAGCAACAACAGCGAGGCTGGAGTTCTGCCTGCGCGCGGGCCCGGGGGCTAAACCCTGGACAGGTTCTTTCCCTTACTCCGCCTGACAACCCTGCGACGTGGTACGATTATCCCCACTTCGCCGATAAAATAAACTAGAGTCATGGAGAGATTGAATGACTTTACCAAACTGTCGGAATTTAAACCTGCTGCTCTCTGACCCTAAAGCCTTAGCTCAAGACCACCGCTCCCCTTCCTAGGAGGCCCCATCCGGAGAAGACCGCTTCTCTTCCCCAGACCCACGCCGGCGTGGAAGGGAGGGGACTGTCCACCCCTCCTCCCAGGCCCCAGGCTTGAATGTGTCCCCTGGCCGAGCTCTGGCCTGGTCACACAGGGTTAATGATTGTTGGGCTGCGGCTTTGAGCCAGGCTCTGGCCAGCAGCCTCACAGACCCCAGCTCGGGGCCTCTGTGCCTTCGAGCTCCTGCGCTCTTGTGCACCAAGCAGCTTGTGGTGGCTTGTGGCGGATCCCACCCCATTCCATCCCCTCCCACCCCATCCTGCTCCCCACCGCCCACCCCAAGGCTAAACCTGCCTGTGCTCACACACCCATTTCCCACCTGGGCTTGTGCATGCAATGTGGTGTGTGATCAGTGTGTGTGACTGGGGGCTTCTTTCTGCCCTGTCTCCCCGGGGCCCCCATCATGGGCCTCCCCTCCCTTGCTGAAGCTAGAATGAGGGGGAGGCTGCCTTGGCGGGAGGCTTAGAGAGGAGGAGGGAAGGAAGGGGGAGAGGAAATTGCAGACATAGCTGAAGAGGCTGCCTGAGGCCTGTGGGCCAGCGACCCTCTCCCTGTCCCGGCTGCAGACCCCTACTCCCCCAGTCCCGAGACTGGGTTCAAGTAGAGGGCAGATCTAGGTGGGGGAGGACTAGAACTGACTCCCGTGGGAATGGAAGAGGGACTCCTGGGTGTATTTGTGACTGTTTGTTCTGTGAGAGTGCATGGTGGTATTTTTGCCCACATCCATATATTTACGTATTAATGTGGTGTATTAGTATTGTTGTGGGGGTCTGTGTGTCAATCTGTGCAGCTACTGGTCAACAAACACTGTGTATGTCTAGTACTTCCTAGTCTAGACCACAGCATCTGTGGATTTAAACAACTTTGGATCAAAAATATTCAAAACCAACATTACATCTGCACTGAACATATACAAGCTTTTTTATTTCCCAAACAATAGATATATTTTTTTCTTTGAGACAGGGTCTCACTCTGTTGCCCAGGCTGGAGTACCAAGGTGCTATCTCAGCTCATCACGACTTCCTGGGCTCAAGAGATCCTCCCTTTTCATTCTCCCAAGTAGCTAGGAGGGACTACAGGTCCCTCAATATACACCACCACGCCTGGCTAATTTTTGTAGAGATGGGGTTTTGCCATGTTGCCCAGACTGGTCTTGAACTCCTGGGCTCAAGTGATCCACCCATCTTAGCCTCCTAAAGTGCAGGGATTACAAGCGTGAGGCATCACACCAGCCAATAGTATATTTTCATAGCAGTTACATTGTATTAGATATTATAAGTAATCAAGAGATGATTTAAAATATACAGGAGAATGTGTGTGGGTTAAATGCAAATACTGAACCATTTTATTTTACATCAGGGACTTGAGGATCCTCAGACGGGAGGTCATGGAGCCAATCCCCTGAGGATACTGAAGGACAGCTCTAATGGGGATTTAACAAGAAACAGAACAGACGGCTGGGCGCGGTGGCTCACGCCTGTAATCCCAGCACTTTGGGAGGCCAAGGCGGGTGGATCACAAGGTTAAGAGATCGAGACCATCCTGGTCAACAAGGTGAAACCCCGTCTCTACTAAAAATACAAAAAATTAGCTGAGCATGGTGGCACATGCCTGTAATCCCAGCTACTCAGGAGGCTGAGGCAGGAGAATTGCCTGAATCCAGGAGGCGGAGGTTGCAATGAGCCGAGATCGCGCCATTGCACTCCAGCCTGGGTAACAAGAGCGAAACTCTGTCTCAAAAACAAAACAAAACAAAAAAAAAAACGAAAAAAGAAACAGAACAGACACAAATCCTTGTCCTCTCGGAGCTGACACTAAATTGGAGAAAAAATAGAAGATAATCTCAGATGCTTCTAAGTGCTCAGGGGATGACAGGATAGGGTAATGTGATGGACAACACCTTGGGGGTGGCTCGTACAGGGACATCCTCAGTGAGGCCTGAATCAGGGGCAGCTGTGCTGGGATCTGGGGCGAATGTCTGAGCAGGATCAAGGGCAGGAATAAGAGCATGCTTGAGATACCTCCCTCCAAGGGCAGAGAGCCATGCAGATGGTGTGTGGGTGCAAGGGAGAGTGGCAGGGGCTGCCCATGCAGGGGCTCGCTGGCCTTGCAGAGGAGCTTGGTTTATGGTGGTGGTGGTGTTTTGAGACAGAGTTTTGCTCTTCTT